GAATTTTTATGACGATGGGAAAATAGGCTACACCAAAAAATCTCGAGTTTCTTTGCATCACTCATACTGTAGAATCCTAACATGTGAGGAACACAAATGCTTACCTAACAAATTGATATACAAACCTTTTTCTTGACTGGTGCAAAAATAAAAGTGTAAACATATCGCATATAAATTTTACCATATATACTTACGATGACAAATTCAAGATACTGTAATTGTTTCTGAGTTCCGTATATGACGCTTCAATTTTATATGCTTATGCAAGATTTTTGCCATCAAAGAGGAAAATGGAAAGATAACGCGCAGTAAATAGGAAAACTGTGTAATGCAACCTTGTTTTCAGATATATTTGTATACTCAGTAATCAAAGATGTGTGCGTGAGCGTTATTCGCACAAAAACGGATGCAAATGTTAAGACACGATATCAGAGAGTTGCGGTGTATCAGGTTTAAAGCTACATGTAGGCGGCAAATTAAGGCGATGAGGATTTGATAATTTGAAAAAAAAAAAAAAGACTTTTCCCCGGTTACCATTATTCTGTACACCAATGAGAACAAGTACGATGTACATGCATATTGGTTATGTGCGCAGATATGTGTCCTTTGTCTGATGATTTTTGGTGAAACCATCTGAAGAAGGGGCAACTTTTTTCCAAGACAACATAGATTCCGAAAATCTTCGCTTCTTATGGCAAACTTTGCCATACGGCTGGGGAGGGTTTTCCTAATCCCTGCATGAACATTGAAAGGGGCGGCGTTATGCACCTGAGCATTTGCAAACCCGATGAATTGGATGCGGGCTATGCCATTTTTCATTTCCTTTTTTTTTAAAGCCGAACTGTCGGGAAAACTCTATTATGATATTGACAGAATATCTTATCGAGTACAACTGAGCTACTGTTTGGCGCGTGACATCAACAAAGAGGATTATTCTGGTCAGTGCTGATTAAATGGTAAACCTTTTCTTTCTTCTTTGTATTCACCTACTCGCCGTGTACGCGTAAAATCTGGTTCGAAAAGCGAACGGAAAAAATACTGGCGGGTACTATCTTGAATTTCTCTGTGAAATAGAGAAAAAAAAAAACAATCAAAATAATAAATAATAATAATAGATGGCTTGAAGTGAACAATATGATGTTGCAATCGGTTGACATATCGAGAAGAAAGAGGTTCGAGAAACTCGATGTTAGCCGTATTTTCATGCAATCTCACTAAAAGAGGATTGTCTACTGAAGCTGCCGTGTACACATATAATTACATTGTATCACGTTCATCCGCTATTGCGATGGCAGTTTTTTGTTGGTGAATGAACCGAGATGCATAATCAAAAACAAGTGATGTTGTAAACGTGCAGCTCAAAGAAAATAAAAAAAAAAGAATTAGGCATGCGTAACTCCGTGATTCAATCCTTATCTGGTCTTCCTTTCCCCATTAATGACTTCAAAGAAGAGAACACCAAATCCTTTTTCTCTCAAGCCAACAACCAACAGTATAACCAGATAGGCTATGTGCTGGAACTTAAGTCGCTCTTGTTTCTTTTTCTTCTTTTACGCCATAATTTTTTTTTTCTTTCTCTTCCAAGAGGTTGGTAAGTTTGGCTGGAATAGTTGTGAATGGTAAATTACCTAATGCCTTTTTGTCCCACCTTCTCAATCCGTTCATTCACTCACTGTTCCGTTGAACGCCAAAAATTCGTCTTCTCAACGCATTACACTTCATACATCATCATAGAATACTCAAGATTACGTCAACTCTTGCCATCACTTCATCACTCTTCTTGTTTCGACCATCGTCTACCGAGTGAAATCGCGATTTCTTTTAAACATTCAATGTTACATGGAACCTAGTACGACAAATCCTCTCCATACTAAAGACAATTCTCCATGTGGGTTGATTGGTGCGACCGACCTATGGTTAATGATATCATAAACCAAAAAAAGGATGAAGATCACGTAAATGAATAGGAAATGTGGGGGGTGCATACATTTATTACATACTGTAAAGCAGGGTGGTGTATATTTTGTAAGTTAAAATATTCGTCGCAGGATGTGTACACTTTCTTAGTTTGTGTTTGCTTTGATACTCGGTTTAAATAGTTTGGTGAGGCCCTATTACGGCTGTGATTGCCGGAATCAATCGCATCGACACCCTGTGATGTTCGTATTATCATCGGGTAAATCCTTTTTATATACACGAACACCGCTGTACTTTATGGTCCAAATATTCCATGAGTATTTAATTTCATACTGCAGTAAAAACTCTTTGTCATTAAAACTGATGTTTATTATAAACTTCGGATCATTTAGAGTGTTTGTACAGTTGGTGCATGTGTAGTTGCGTTTTTTTGACTTTGTGAAATATAAAATAGTACTTTATATTGATAAAAACTTTTCTTTGTAGTTTCTTAATATGTGATTGAAAAAAGACAATTGTTTACACTTTACCCTGCTTTTTTCTCTGTACAAAAAAAAAAAAAAAAAAAAAAAAAAAATTTCAGCGGCATTTATAAAAACGAGTCAAAATGGATTTTTTTGGCCATCACACTAATCCACCCACACTCCTAATTATTTTTGTCTGGATATCTTTCCGAGATCCATCTTTCTTCCCTTGTAAACGATCTTCTTTGACGTTTCCTTTTTATATCCTTCATCCATCCATCCATCTCATAACTATTCTTTCCTCTACCTCACGTCCGTCCATCCCAGAATATAAAATTTTTACTTCCTCTCCTACATCCCATAATTCTCGAAAAATCCTTGATAACAATGGCCGGTAATACAAATGATTATACCGTTTCGGACTCATACATTATCCAAACCTCTGAGAATGATGTACGCTGATTGTCATATATGATTCTATTCTCCTCGCACATGGAATATTTTCGCTGACTTTTTTTTTTTTTTTACTCTCAATTTTTTCCGATTAAATAAGAGCGATCTGGAGTTATTGCTCGTAAGTTTACAAATCCGACGAAAAAATATTAGTCAAACGGTCAATCATTTTTTTTAACGTATCCCCCCTCTCCCTTGCCCATAGCATTATGTTTCCAAGTTGGTCATGAAAGGAAATATCACCAGTCCCATTAAAAGATCAAACTTAAAGGTAAATTTTCAGGAAACTGACTTTCTTCAAAGGTTGATCTCGTGCTAACCATGGTTCATGATTTTCAATCATTCTAGACCTGCTTGGATATTGGGTAAGCAATCAAGTTATATCATCATAGATTTGAAAATATCTCATCTTGACGCCAATCGAACTTATCTTCATTTTATCTCGGACACAGCTATGGAGGAGGATCGTGGATGATGGAAATGGCCACGTATGAATAGTCTTTGAGTGTTTGCTTGTGTTTTCAAAAAACAAAAGTAACCATCTTTCTTTTATTTTAGCGATTACCCAGATTGCCAATTTTACGGCATCGACCTGGACCCAGGCACACCGGATTTGGTTTATCCGAACAATTGTATTTTCCAGAAAGGAGATTACTTGAGTATGCATCTTTTTTTTTCGCGCGAATTGCATGAGTCTGACGAATTCTCTAAAGAGCAACTCTCTCTCTCTTAGAGTCATTACCGTATCCCGAAAACACCTTTGACTTGCTCCACGTCAGAGCAACATTGCTTTGGCTTGACTTTGAAAGTTTCAAGAATCTTCTGAAGGAAGCGGTGCGGGTAACTAAAAAAGGTGGTTTCATAGAATTCCTGGTAAGTATCACGCATCATCAATTAAATTACAGTAATCGGAATTCATAAAGTGATTGATTCATGAATTACATTATATTTAACAGGAGCAAGATATTGAAACCACGTGAGTCCCATTCACATTTCTTGTATATTGCTCTTTAGGGTTTGGCTGACATTACCTACCTTTTGATCAATCAACAGCAACACCGGTCCTATTTTAACTTCTTACATCGACACTTGGAGAGAGATTCAGATGTCAAAAAACATCGACGGAAATTTAATGAGCAAGATGGAAACCTTGTTGGCCGAACAAGGATTTGGGAACATCAAAATAAACAATTGTCATATTCCCATAGGAAAATGGGCTGGATTCGTAAGTATTCTCGTGATATCAATGACTTCTCTTTTAAATCGGATCAATTATAATTTTACCATTTTCTCCTGTTAATAAAAGGTTGGAGAGTTTTTCCTGTCGGCATTTGAGCTATTCGTCCTGCACACGGCCTCTCTTACATACGAGAGTTTAAACCTTAGGAATGAGAGTGATTGCGCCCAACTGGTTCAAGAACTCAGTGCCGAGTGTGAGCAATACAAGCCCCAAGCTAACCTCTATTTTGGGTTTGCTCAAAAATTGTGAAAAGACTCCCCAACTTTCATTTTTGCCATGACGACCAGTACCCCTCGTTTAGTCATCTTTTTTTCTTCACCCCCTCACCTCATTTACCACTTAAATCCGCATTTCTCTTTCTCCCTTAATACCGATTTCTCAAAGACCTATATTTTAATCTTTCTTAAGAACAAAACTATGCCTAAAGTTTTCTATGAATAAGATTATGCTTTGGCCGTATATGCAATATCCCTTTGAAGACCAACAACAAAAAAAAAAAAAATACATATAACCATAGTGAAAATCTTTTAAAAAAATCATAAATTTTTAAATCAAAAAAAAAAACAATCGATCATTATTTATTGCGCCTTCTCATTATTTCTTCTTTTACAAAAAAAAAAAATGCATTTATATCGATATACACGTTTGAAACGTAGAAAAATTCATTTTTTTTCCGTTCGTTTTCGTTCCGTTTTCCGATCCCTTTACCCCTTTTTTTCGTTTGTTACTTACGTAAGGAAAAGACGACATTCTTTGACCGTAAATTATTTTTGATGCTCTTTCGTTTTTATTCTATTTTTTATTTAAATCTCTTCGTATATTATCTATTAAAAATAGTTTTAATATTTCCTTTCAACATAAAACTAAATAACCACAAAAAAAAAATCCCTTCATTATCTTATTTTCCACCACTACCTATTTTATTTATTTTTTTTTATTTATCTCTCTCTTTTTTTTTTTTTTAGTTCAATTTTTTCTTTTGCTCTTTGATTTATCTATTTTTTTTTTTGTTATTATTATTATTTTTTAAAAATAATAAAATTCTCAATCGACCTTGTATATTTCAACACATACTGTATATTCTGTAGTATAATTTGACGCGTGAGAATGTTTGATTGATGCGTCGTTGCATTTTTTATCGTCAGCTCACGGATAAATCATGCAATTTTGCTGTGAAACCATCCCATTTTTTGTACAGTACAGTATTTGCATTAACCGTCATTGTTGATTTACCAGGTGCAACAGCTTCCGGAAGTTGTGTAAAGCGTATCGGTAAAAAATCTTATTTTCTAAAAAAGTTATTTAATTATTATATAATTGAATTTCACTATTGAATTATTTTCTGTATTTAATTCTCATTAAATATTTGTTTGTTTATTATAATAAATAAATTATATATATATATAAAATCATTTCGCCATCACACTATATTTACAACAAAATCTTATGATGGGATACTGTACGTATTAAAATTATATATAAAAACTGGTTGGAAAAATAAAAAAATTTTTTTTTAATATTTTTAAATATTACAAATATTTTTTTTACTGTATCTCACATACTGTATTGATGTATATACAATTTGATCAATCATCTGAAATTTTAATCCATTAGAGTTTTTGTTGCTAATACAGTATATAAATTTGTTCCGATTGACAATTAAAAAAAACTGGAGATTTAAAATTGAACAATTTTTTTTTTTTGCTATTATTAAAAACTATTTATAATAATATATATATATATTGATTTTCTTTTTTGCTATCAGTACTGGTACTGGTAATTATCAATATTGAATCAAAAATATTGAAATTAAAGATTCAATCAAAATCCAATGTAATATTTGATCAGTATTATATACAATATACTATTTCATTAAAATCAATATTGAAAAATTTCAATATTAATAACAATGATGATTAAAACTTTTAGTACAATATTAATATCAAATTAAAGGTATTGATACAATCATATTAAATCAAAAATATGTGTTCAAATCGAATAGTTATACTGTAAGTTATTTTGTGTTTTTTAAGCTAGTTAAAAAATTCAAATCTGTTTGATTCATAAACCAATTTTTCTAAAAAACAAAAAATTGATTTTATAACCGTAATAAAATTAATATTTATTTATATGTTTTTATCATTTTTGATTTAATCACTATTATTATAATATTTTTTATTAATATTCTTTTTTTTTAAAAAAAAAAAGTAAATAAACATAATTATTTTATTATATCCTAAAAATTTTAATATTTTACATAAAAAAAGTAACAATATCTCTCATGTAATTAATTTTATCAGTAAGTTTAATACTAGTTTGCCTATGGTAAACTATTCAAGTATAAAGTGAAAAAATATCAATATCAATATATAACAAAAAAAATATCAAGCAATTATAAATACCTACTTAGATTTATATATGAAAAGAATATGAAAAATAAAAAATTAAAAAAAAAAAAATATTAAACAAAGAGATAAATACAAGTATTTATTGTAATTAACAAAAACCTTCAAAACCATCTTTATAAAACTATGGAATTTCAAGGATATATAATCTCTATCTTCCTTTAATTCAAACCTAAAATCAAATTATGTATTATCCAAATCTATCTTCTTCACAATATACAAAAAAGGAAAAATGTTACTTCTTCTCTTCAAAACCTCATTAACAATAACAAATCCAAAAATATCTTATATGTTATTATGGAAAACTTTAATCTCACTTCTTTCAAACAGGACAGAACTCAATCAACCAAACCAAAATACAAACCTACCATTTACAAATCTTTTAACAAAAACTACTTTGACGTCTTTCATTTTTTTAATTTCCAAAAGTTAGATTCACCTTCTCTGATCCTACTGAACAAAGTCACATTGACCAAATATAGATCTCTGAAGATATTTCCTTCCAAATCATCAAGTCTTCAATAATTAACACAGAACCAGAATTCCACAGTGGCCACAAAATAATCACTTTCTTAATTTCCAATTTTTTAATTACAAAACCTTCTAAATCCAAGCCAATAACACATTTTAACTATAACAAAGTATCTGAAAAAATCTGGAAAAACATTAAAACTTATTTATCAAATAAACTCGATATTCTCAATAATGACTCCAATATTTATGACACTTGGAAACTACTAAATTTTATAATAAAAACCTCAATAAACAACTTTATTTTAAAACAAAAAATTAAAAAAAACATTAATTATATATTTAGTAAAAATGAAATTATTCTTTACAAAAAACTTCAATTCATCAAATTTTATATTCATAACCTTTTTTCTTTTCTCTTCTCTTTTCAACTTTCTATTTTTATTACATTGGAATTAATTGAGCTCAAATTCTCACAATATTTATTTGAAAAAATAATTTCATTTAAAAAACTTTTCAAAAATAAGTATTGTTCACTCAAAATTGAAAATAACTTTTACAAAGCTAAATTAATTAAAAAAATTATCAATAGAAGAATTTTCTATCTTCAAGAAAGATCCAAAATTATGATTCAACAAACTCTTAACCATAAAAATTATCAAGTATCCTTTTCCAAACTTATTGATCCATTAACAAAAAAAATTATAACTGATTCCTTAACTATACACTAAACTTTAACTAATTATTATAAAAAAGTTTTTTACAAAAGAACTATAAATAATAATATTTTCAATAAGTGGGCAAACCACTATTAACTCCTTCCTTATATCAATTCATCTATCTATAACACACTAATGTTATTAATAATCTAATACAAAATTTCTGAAATCATTAACAAATTCCCTAATAATAAGGCTCTAGGGCCATCTAAAATCAATTATCTTTTTATTAAAAACTCAATTAATCTTACTTCCATTTCTTTATAATTTCTTTAACAACATTCTTTTAACACAAGAAATTCCAACTGATTGGAAAATTATCACATATATCCAATTAACAAAAAACTCCAATGGAAATACAATATTCAGGATACTTGTTCAATAGCACTAATTGACTTCTTTTACAAAATCCTTATCAAAAAACTTACTAAATGACTTAACAAAATCCTTCAAAATAATAAAGTCCTTTAAAAAACCAATTTCACTGGCCTTCCAAACCAAAGTACATTTGAACCTATTCAAATCCTTAACTTCTTATATAATATCAAAAAAATCATATAAAAAAAACTATGGATTCTCATTATAATAAAAAACTCTTTCCTAAACATACACACATTGCAATAAATTACTAAATTAGGAAACTCGGAATTTCTTTATAGAAGAAAAAAACAAAAGACTCTAGAGAATTCTCCTTCCTTAATGATCAAATAGTTAATTATAAACATGTTTTTCTTGACATACTTGTAACCAACATCAAAAACCTTCAAGTCATTATTATCTATAGAAATACTAAAACAAACAAAATTTTTGTCTCTATTCCTGCTTAATCAATTCTTCTTTTCAGGTTAGGAAACTGTCTAAAAGTATGGATAACACCTGTTCACTTTCTACAAAGTGATTTGAAAAGTGTCAACATCATTAGCTTCACCTTTGAGGAATATCAAAGAACCAGAATATCACCTATACTCATACTTGTTACTATAACTCTGCCAAAACCAATACTCCTGAAAGACCTAAATTCTTTCATAGAATTTTAACACATCTTCAAACTAATAGATAAGGACAGAACTGATATAATAAGAGAAGTTATGAAGTATGATCTCAACTATGGCTTACACATTCCTTGGGAGAAACTTAATATCAACACCTTTAAAGAAAATAAAACTTTTACTTTTGAAAGAAAAATCAGGACACCCTTACTCCACTAAACATATTTGCATCCACAGAGTAAATCATTAATAACAATAGTATATAGTCTAATTCTTCTCCTGTGACAATTCCTACATCAACCCCTGAACCTATATTACCTATATAATAATCCAGCATATAATCCATATAAATTTGAAATAAGTAATGCATGCACTTCTGCATCTCTACATAAGAATAACACTAACTCGAGTAATATACAAAACACTACTGAAATGGAAATTGATGATCTCTTCACAGAAGCTGAGTTACACTTGCAATCCACAACTAATCCTATCTCCTAGGCTGATGAAACTGAAGCCACATTATCCACCTTAATCAACAGTCAATCCAATAGCAATATTTATAGAAACACTTCAGAAAATAAACAAACAAAGATTCTCATATATTGCAAAGAGATAATTAGCTGCCCCAGAACTTCAGAAAATATACTCAAACTTTTTATCAA